GGAGAAAGCAACAGTAAGGCTGCCAGCGCGGCGGGCGGCGCGGGCGCCTCGGTGCTGTCGCGGAGGGACAGCGGCACCAGCGCGTCCTTCTGCACCGCTTTCTGCACCGCAGCGTGTGCCGCGCTCCTCGGGAGCCTCTTTGGAGCGTCCTGAGCCGTGAGGGAGCGTTTCGAGCAGGCAGGGCCCGGGAACGGCCCGCATTGCTCCGGGTGTCCCTGGCCCGCAGCACCCAGCAGAGCAAGGCAGGGCGGTCCGGCCCCAGCTCGCAGTCACCGTACGATTCCTCTCCTCTTTCCGGGTTGCTTTTTTAATGAAATGCAAGTTTTCTTCTTTCTCCTCTTCTTGCCCTGCCCTCGAGGCTTTCTTAAGCAGTCTATTAAACTGATGCATCAGGAAAGGAAAAATCTTGACGAGGGAGGTTAGATTTTCCCCTGCATTTTCATCGTTTTTCTTGTCTGAGTTTTGTTGACTTTCTTAAACACTTCCTTTTCCATTTGGATTTATGGCTGTCAAGTATTTACCTCCTATCCGTTTTTATTTCCATCATGTTCATAAGATTTCTGCAAACATCCCTGAAAACTGTCAGTGTCTCCTTGGTAGAGTGCCCAGAGCTGAAGAGTTACTGCAGGTGCAGCCTGCACTTGAAGCCATCGACTTTGACAGCTCTGCTTCTGGGGGCAATGACAGCGAGGGTAGACGCGCTCAAAGCGAGGAGCCTCGTGACAGTGTCACCTGCCACCGGAGCGTCCTACCTCAGCCAAATTGCCTTGTTGATTCCTGCCTCCCAACTCCCTCTCTCCGGCGCGTGGGCGAGCCCTTCCCCGTGCGTTGGACCCTGCGGAATTTCGGCTCCATTCCCATTGCCTGCGCAGCAGCTGTCAAGGCCCTCGCCCTGCTCTCCCCTCGCGGGTAGCTGCAGCGTCTCCCGTTTGTAGCATGCGGGGATTTGATGAACAGGCTCCTCCAGCAGCCCCTGCTCCCCGTGTCGAGCAAGCGGGCCGCGCGGCCGGGCCCGGTGCCACGTGCCGTTGCGGGGATGCCGCTCGGAGCGAGGCGCCGGTTCGGCAGCCCAATTCACCCGTCCCGCTCCCCGCGGAGGCGCAGCGGGATACGGGGCTGCCTGCAGTGCCGCGCTCCAACGTGCACAGCCGTCCTCGAGCCCTTTACAGAGCCCTAAGGGTCCCAGGGATGAGTCCTGGCTGGAAATGGTTTCTCTGCGGAATGTGGCAGCGCAAACCCTGTGACTAAAAGAGAGACATGAAAGAGCAGAAGGCAAAAGTGTCTCTTTTGGTAATAATGCAGGCATTTCCATTGTCTAGGGTGGCACAAAAAATAATCCAAACTGTGACAAAAGTGGGCAGACACTGCAAGTGCCACTTGTAGAGCAGCCAGTGCAAGTCACCTCTTTGAGGAGAGGGCTGCTGTGCAGCAAGCAGCATCCAAACCTCGGGACGCTCTGGAAGCACTCACAGTTTCTTGAGAAGCTTTGCCAGGAGCATCAGACACCTTTTACCAGTGTCGAGGGTAAAAGGAGATTCCCGCATTTCGCCACGTGGCCACGGCCCGTGTGTCCCCAGCACCCGCATTTGTCCTCCCTGTCACGCAGAGGTTGAGCAACAGGCCAACCCCCTCCCGGCAGTTGCTTTCCTTCCCCCTAGAGCAAACCGTGCCGATTGGGTTCCTGCCTCCCGGGAACATGAGCCCCTCTGTGGTCCCACCACGGGGCACGGGAAGCACACGCTGCCCTTTGGAGAAGCCGGGCAGGGAGAGGAGGGAAGCGTTCCCGTGTCCGAGCAGCTCGGGCGGCGCTAGCAGCGCAGCCCCAGCCTGGGTCCGTCACGGCGCCCGGTGCCGTGGGTCCAACCCGATCAACGTGTGCTTGTTCTGTCCCACGCTGTCCAGCTCTGCGCTCAGGGCACCGGGCGGGTGCATGTTTAGCCCGTAGATCTTGCAGATTGCAGCTTTACCGATCAAGTGAATGCTTAACCACTAATGACCTTTCTTCCTGCTTGCACTAGTGTTTTCGGAAAGCTTAAAGTCTGGATACAGTTTCCAGTTGGGTTAAAATGCATTTAAATGCCGAGGAAGCCCAAGAGCATCGGGGTTTGAGTAGTACGAAAGTATGTGTTATTTCTTTACAGTTTTTCTTGGTTTGGGCTTTCTGTCTGTGGATGAACTATTGAAGATGCCATCTTTACCGTAGGAAAATAGTAATGTGACTGTTTCTTTTTCTCCCTCCTCTGTAGGCCTACGGACATGAGGTGGTTAAGAGTAGATGATGAGATGCCTCAACACGTTGTAGTGTCTGGTTCAAACCTTCTCATTAGTAACCTAAACAAAACAGATAATGGTACATACCGCTGTGAGGCTTCAAACGCGGTGGGGAAATCACATGCGGATTACATGCTGTTTGTATACGGTACGTGAGAAAAACCACCGTTCTTCTAGACTCATTTACACATACCTGCTGCATTCCCCTCCCAACGCTCTGAGAGGTTCCCATTTTGCCGAACGCGCGCGAGCCCTTTTGAGCACGGGCAGCAGCGGAGCGGGTTTGTTTGTTCGGGGCTTTTATTAGCAAGTTAAATTACTGGAGGATCAGCCGGCCTGCTCGGATAATTACAAACCAGTAAATAAACGGGAGGAATGAGATGTCTTGAGCCTATCTTTGGCTGCTGAGCAGACACTAAAACATGTCTCGGCATCTTTTTAAGTGCTATTAAGTACCTACTTTAATTCCTCAGTTCCTCTGCATTATTTTACCATCGCTTTAAACCTCGCTGTGCTCTTGTCACAGAGGTCTCGCATATAAAGAAGATTCAGTAGGCGCTCGAGGAGCGATCCCCGTTTACTGATGAACAATTCCCGCGTGCTTAAGGCGTCTCCGGCCGTCCGGGTCCCGCGGCGCCGTCCTGCCGCGCTCGCCGCCGTGCGGGTCCATAGGCAGAGCCGGCGTCGCGCTCGCTCCTCCCGGGGCCGCTTGCACACGAGCAGCTCTGGGCCCCGGCTTGGACGGGTGGCCAAAGCGAACCTCAAAACCGTCACTTGAGGCCCAAAGTACAGCTTGTCTCCTGCATCATGGGAGCAGCTTTCTAGTGGCAGGAGCACCAGGGAGCTCCAGTTTGTGTCATGACATGCAAGGCTTAAAGATGGAACAGTTCATATGCTCGTGGTATGACAATTATTTAATTTACAGAAATGTTTAAAGAAACAGCTGATGTAGCAGAGAGCCTAAAAAGCACTTGCAGCGAATGGGAAACCGAGGACTCCATGTGGGGTTGGGATTATAGCCGGCCCCTGGAGTAAAGCAGGTGTAGAAGAGCAGGGCGGGTTTTTGCTCGTTTCTTCTGTTTCTAGCCCAGTTTCACCTACCTGTTTTGTTTGGAGGGAGTGCTAAGTTAAACCTCCCCCCTGTCAAGTGAACTGCCTAGTCCGGTTTGCGGAAGGCCTGGGGACAAGGGCTCCAAGGACCTGCTCCTGCAGCCCCCGGCGGCGCTCAGCGGGCCCTGGGGCCAGCGCTCCCCTCTGCCCTTCCAGTGGCTCTGAATAGGGTCGGTGCTGCGAGCAGGGCGCCCCGCTGCCCTGGGGACGCAGAGGGGCCTCCTGGCGTCCCCGCGGACGGGCCGCCCGTCCCGGTGCGCGCGGTGCACGCAGGTGCGGCGGCCAGCGCGGCCCGGCGCCTTCGTTAGGGAAGCCGGGCGCTCCCCCGCACATAAAAGAGGAGCAGATGGGTGAGTGGTGAAAAGTTGACATACTTTAGAGGAAATTTAAAATCAAAAGCCCAGGAACTGTTTCATGCTCCATTATTGCAGAATGAATCCTTAGTTCAAAGCCTTCCTGACTACTTAACGCATTCAGTTTGATCATTTGGGCATTGATATATATGTTTTCTTTTACATCTTCTCACATCGCCCCTCTCCTGCTCAGTAGTTTGGATGAGGATGTGCCCCTGTACGTAATAGAAATGCTGTAGAGAGAGTGGCAGTGTTTGAGTTTGCACAGGTCGAGGCTTCTGCAGAAATAGGTACTAGTTACAAAGAACTCCTCAGTCGCGGTGTTTTCCGCTGAGGCTGCTCTGTTAACAAAAGCAGCCGTGTCGAAATTGTCAGGAAAATATTAGCTCTTTTTTAGCAAAAGACGGTGGGGAAATTTTCCATGCCTCGAAATTGATATTTAGTAATGACGTTCCCATTGCTTTCTGTTTATTGCTGCAGTGGAAGTAGCTTTTAACATCCCGCTGACGCGTACTCCGTGAGGAAGACTAGCGTGAGGCGAAGCGCGCCGCGAGGCGGGCGGGCTGGCCCCAAGGGATGGCGCCCCTGTCTGTGTCGGTCCTGCCACGCTGCCTCGTGTCTGTCCCCGTCACGGAAAGCCCGCGCTCTGTTCTCCTCACGGCGCTGCCATCCCATCGCTCTCCTCCTCATTGACTAATTTACGCTGGGCTTTGTCTCCTTGGTTTTGCTGAGTGTTTTGTTGAAGCACGGCAGAAGGGGGGAGTTGGTGGGCAGCCCGGGGCCCGCAGAGCAGGAGCCACCGCTGCTGCTCAGTGTCCTTGGTTCTCTCTGCTCGTTATTGATCGCTGTTGTGTTCTGCTTGATTTTTCTTAATTTGCTTTTTTGTTATTTTCCTTTTTATATTTTATCCAGATCCCCCCACAACTATCCCTCCTCCCACAACAACCACCACCACTACCACCACCATCCCTACCACCATCTCAGGTACGGTACCTTCATAACCATTGGAAATGTCCTGATTGCCTGTTGTCTTTCTGTGTGTATAAGCCGAGCTTGAAGCCTGGGGAAAACCAAGCAGCGTACGAGGGGAGTTTGTCCCTCCGATGCACCCCCTGTGCTGCCGAGCCCTGGCCTGGCAGTGCAGCGAGTGGCATCGCCCTGACTGCAGCTGGTTCTGGAACGTGCAAACGGCCACGTCACAAAAAGCTATTAATGCAGTTACTGCTGGCGAACATTGGGTGCTTGAAATGAAGGGTATCAACAGCCTGAAAACTCATTTAATGTGGCGAGGGGGTCATAAATTCCATTCTCAACCCCATCAGTAGCAATTTTTGCGCAATTTATCCTTGGGAGCGTGAAGTTTGGTCTTTAGTAATTCACTCCACCTACGATGACTGTAGATGCTTATTCTCACACGTAGATGTTTGCTCTCTTTTTTTCGGAATTACTGTAATAAGCTGTCTAGCTCACTTCCAGAAAAATGAATTCCCCCAGTCATTGTACTTGGAAGCAAATAAGATCAGTATGGCCATCCCTGAAGCGTTGCCTTGGAGAACTTGGCGTTTTCCCCTGCCGTCTAAGACGAGCTGACTAAAAGCGCTCAGCTGCTCGTGAGACACCTCTTCCTCCTCCTCGTCTTCCTCCTCCTCCTCCACACGCATGCCTCATGTGCTCATGTGCCGGACCTGACGCCCTCCGCCCATGGGCAAGGCCTTTCTGCTGTCTCTCTGGTCATCCCCATTGTCATTTTCTGCTCTCTTCTGTTTCAACTGCTGCTTTTGGTTTTGCCGCTTTTATTTATTTATTTATTTTATTTGGGTGGTTTTGGAGGTAGAGCTGTGCCCAAGCGAAGGCGCGAGCGGACCGTTGGGTGTCTGACAGCATGGTGTTTATTGCTGCTCTACGCCAGCCCCTTCGTAGAAGGAGGCTACGTTTAGTTCCCGTGCCTCGGCTCGGCTGATTCCGCCTGTCCTCTGCGGGCTGTTGTGCGGGTTTTTCCCCTCGAGCGTGTAGCGCCCGGTCAGCCTCCGCAGTTGGAGCCGCCTCTCCCGACGTGCCCCTCGTGCTGTGCCCTCCGCGCGCCATCGTGGTGTCCACCCGTGCCGTTCTGTGTGTTCCTCTTTGCAGGTGCTGGTTCACGTGCTGAGCCGCAGGCAGCCGAGCGCTGCTGCCCGGGACGCTCGGCGCTGAATGTTTCCTCCTTTGTGATGTGCTCATTTTGTTTCCTTTCTCTGTTTTTAATCTCTTAACCACTTTTTGTTCTGGAATAGGTTACTGGTTCAGAGTCTCCTTAAGAGCCTTTCGGGGAGACCCTCGCTGCCGTGTGCCTCAGGGTAACCGAACCTGCACGGTTGTCTTTCGTTTTGCAGTAGCTGATGGACGTTTCCAGGGAATCGGAGCGGGCCGAAGGAGGCACGCCGAAGGCCCTGTTCCTTGGACGCCGTTCCGTTCGTGGCGTGCCCGCTCCCGCTGAGGAGTGTCGGAGGTCGGGAACATGCCGTGCTCGCCCGCCCCGTCCCGCTCTGGCGCTCTTCACAAGCGGCAGTGACGGGTGCTGTCCCGCTGCAGGCGCAGCCGTTGCTGTGCGAGTTCTGAGCAGATTCCACCCCTCGTGGCCATGGGCTTCCAGCTGTTCCACAGCCCGGTTCTAGGTGCCCCGTGCTGGGGCTGTGCCCGGCGCGCGGAGCTGCTGCCCTCCCTGCGGTGCGACACGGTCACAGCGCGGCCCCGTAAGAGACGCGGAGCTCCCCGGACACGCGGGATCGGCGTTTCCCTCAGCACGGCGCTTGGCAGCGTGGCATTCCCACCTGCACCACGGGAGGTATCGCCCGCTGCTGATTCCCAGTGCCATTTCTATTCCTTAGGACCAAATCCCGGCTCCTCACTTATTATCCCACTGGGCTTAGCGGGTTCTGGCTGCTGAGAAGACTTGACCCTGTGCTGATGGAGGGCTTTTAGGAACCGAGGGCCTTCCGATAGAAGGTTTTTCCTGCTTTCGGGAGACTTTTCCATCCGAATGAGCGCTTTCCCTGAATAGAGGATGAGGCCTGTCGTGCCTGAGGTGGCCGGCAGCATGAATAAATGGAGAGAATGATTGCGGGCACAGACGAAGGTTCCCCCACGGGCAGTCCCTCATTTCTTTCCTTGGCAGCGGATCGGGGCAGTCGGAAGCGTGTGGCCGGGTGCCGTTCTCCCGCCTTCCTCTCTCCTCAGCCACGGCCAATGTGCAGCCCCAGCTCGTTGCCAGCCCGGTGACAGAGCACGGGCAGGATTCCTTCTCCTCCCCGATGCCTTTGAACTGCTGAGGAGGACAGAAACGGAATGAAAAAGTACCGGTTCTCCCTGATAGCAGCAGTTACGGTTTGTGATTTGCAGCGAGAAGGTTTGTTAATAAGAAACTGCAAGAGAAATCTGTTAATCTCCTTCCTGACGCCGACTGAACGCTGGATCCTCTTGATGTGCGGCCTGCCCACAGGTTCAGCGTGCTTCTCTCGAAAGAGCAGCGAGGGCCCGGTGTCCTTCCCCGCGTGTCCACGTGTGCGTTTGTCCCGGGTGTTTGTTGGGGGCGCGGTGCGGAACGGGACCTCGCTAGTCGCGTTGGACGGCTGCCCCTGTGCTGACCCGACCCGTGCAGGTAGCGCTCGGGCCCCGTTAACACTTGGTCATTAGCCTTGCCAACAACCCTGGGTGAGCTGGCGCCGCGGCAGCCCTCGGATCAAGGATTCCGCTGCGTGTGGATCAGGGCACGTCCAGTCCTGGGGCCCATCTTGTGCGATGGGACTTGGCTCGTGGGATGGGAAGGAATCTCCCAACCCCTTCAACGTCGCGATCCTGGGAGCCGCGTTCCCTCTGTGCGCAGAACGGCTCGGCGCTAATGAGGGAATTAGCGCTAGGGCAGGAGGAGGAGCAGAAGGGCTGCCAGCCCCGCTTTAGAAAATCCCCCGCTTTGATGGAAGCGATTGTGCGCTCACAAGCAGCTCTGGACGTATTTATCTCATCCCGAAGGTTGCACTCGTGGAATTGAACGTTTGCTCCTCCTGCCGCAGATTAAAGGTTATAGAACAACACGTTTTCAATCTGGGTTTCTGCAGAGACCAGGCAATCTGCGGAATGTAACTTGATGGCCAAGCCTTGACAAATGGATGGCAAAATTGTTTCCTGCTTGTGGCCTGCAGTGATTAATCCACAGTTACCAGCTATTGTTGCTCGTAAGGGCTTCAAAAGCAAACAGCGGAGAGCGGCAGAAACTTGCTGGTGGTTTTCAGTGGTGTAGAGGGCTCGTAGCTGAAAGGAATTGGGTCAAGTTAACATAAGCTCCAGAGTGACGTAGCACGGGCGTGGAAAGGCTCTTTCGAGCCTCCGGGGACAACTGGTAGCGGAATTCTTGCCGTCAGCAGCGTGTTGGGCTGCTGTGACATGATGCCGTCGGTGGCAGGTGGCAGCGGTCCCTGTCGCCGTGCCCCGGTGGGGTGGCCGCGGCCGGAGAAGCTAACGTGCCTTTTTCTTTCAGGAGAAGGAAGGATGGAGCGGCGGCCGAGTTTCCAAAGAGCGCGACCTTTAGAGCTTTTCCCCTGTCACCGTTGCTTTGCCTCGGCGTAGGTGCTCCAAAGGCCTCCTGCGTGACAGTTTGCTCCTTCTCCTACGTCCCCTGGCCTCATTGGTATTCTGAGCACCCTTTGGCGGTTCGGCTGTTATCGCTGGCAAACCCTCTTCCCTCCCCCTGCCTCTTTTTTTATCAGTGCAAATTGTCCTTGTGGCTTTGTTCATTAAGATGTACGATGCGATATGGCAGAGCAAACTGCATAATTTGGATTACCCCCGGGTCCGCACTTGAAACGCAGGTTTGGGTCAGCCGTTGTTTCCTGGGAGATGGAGGCTCGCTCTGCAGCAAAGCGCTCCTCTTTGGACTCGCTCCCGCGCGGAGCAGCTCCCGCACACCCTTTCAAGCATTATTTGGCTGCCTCCTGGACTAGCTTAGCACATGCACCCTCGTATCCACAGAGTTGCTCGGGTGTGCGCATTTGCATTTATTACGCTTTTTCTCTGCAGCTAGACTTTGCTGCTGTCTTGGCAACAGGTTCCGCGGGGGCCCGGGGGGTCTGGCCAGCACGTACGTTACCCAGCGCTGACGTTACGTGCTGCTGCTTGCCTCGCTTGGCACGGGTCTCGTTTGTCGAGGACCCCTCCCGTCCATCTGGAAGCCGTACCGGTGCCAAGCTGGCCCGGGGCAGCCTCGCGGGGCTTCAGAGCAATCGTAGGCCGTGGTTTAAAGTCGACGTGGCCTTTGGAGAGCACCCTGAGTAGCAATGAGTGCGCTTAGGTGAGCCGTTGTGGGAAGGAGCTCCGAAGCAGGGTGGGTAAGCGATGCCCGGGCCTGGGTGAGCTTTGAGGCCAAGTTCTTCATGGCTGCCGGAGAAGGACCACGTAGGTGCCGGTTGGTGTGGGGCGTGAAGAACCACGTCCTTTGGGCTCCTGAGCAGTGGTGGTGCATGCAAGACGCAGCGCTCAGCAGAAAGGCTGTGGTGTGTTTTCAAATCACGAATCGGGTGCCAGAAAGCTTCCTTAAAAAGGTGAAAGCGATGGCTTTATTCTCAGCAGAAGTTGGTTGTTTTCTGGTTGCAGCTGCCTGTGTGTGACAAACTACAGTTGCATGGGATTTATTCCAGCAGTAATCCAAAGAGGTGGTGGGTGGGAAGAATGCAATAAAAATCATTCTTTGCTCCAATTACCCTGCAGCAGGTTTGTGGGAGGAGAAGAGGCAGCGCAGGGATTACTCGAGCAATGCATTAAGTGGGGATCTGTCCTTCAGCCTTCTCCAAGCAAGTGCATGTTGCTGTGGTGGTGGTTCGGTGCTGCTCTAATGCTCTGCCCTCGTGGTAAGTGCCAGTGTATTGGTGTGTGTTTGTGAGGCAGGAGAACTGCAGCTCACCAGGAGGAGGAAACCGGCAAGTCTGAGATGTTAATGTTGTCACTAGGTTCGAGTTCCCCTTACAGTCTCACTGGGCTTGAGATTGTGACTTAATTTATGGATTAGTTTAAGAGGCCGAGTCTGTCACACTCGATGAATGCCTTTATGTTGGAGAGAAGCCAAAGGAAAAAACTAAGGCATAGCTCTGGAACTTGTAGCTTAAACCTTGCACTGATGCCTTCATGAAGGCTTTTTTTGTATGTTGTATAAGTGTATAATGATTTTCATACGTATAGAATTTTACCCCTCAATGTTGCCAGACGATTCTTCCTTGGCAAAACGTTTGCCACGCTGTGCCGGTGGCGGCACCGGCCTGGTGAAGCTTGTTGAGGGCAGAAATGTAGTGAGGGCCTTCGCGTCGCTCTGCATTGGAGGAGCAAGGGGACGGGAATTTCCTTGCAGAGCCGGGGACAGAAGTCTAGTCCCTGGGGTCCTGCGTTTGTAGTCTGACTTAGAAACCTGATTGCTCCGCAAAAAGGAAGCAAGCAAGATGCCCCAAAAAGGGCCCTTTTCCCGTTGGCCGGGCTGGGCTACGTCGTAGGCTGGGGCCTTGGCGCTGCCTTTCGCGTCGTTGGCAGCGGCACTCGTCTCTCCGCACAGCGAGCGTGGTGCCGGGGTGTGTGTACAGTGTGTGTGTGTGTGTGTTGAGCATGGTGCCGGTGTGTGTGTGTGTGTGTGTGTGTTGGGGCCCTTCGCTTCCCGCACGGCCTCGGCGCGGGCTCCGGCCCCCCCGCCCCGCGCGCC